TTTATATTTACCATGAAACTATTTTGTTTAAAAAAAAAAAAAAAATCTAGGTATAGTAAAAAGCCCAGCCTAGCTGGGAGCTGGATTAGTCATGAATCAGAAGACACCCGGTGCAGGGATTGCCTTGAGATGGGAAGCGAGTTGGGCTCTCTCACAGTGATGCTGGAACTGCTGATTAGTGGTGATTGTGGTAGCGTCTGATATAAGATGAATTCATGGGGATTTATACCCTGTGTCTCGACCTGCTGTAGCAAGACTGGGTTTAATGCAGCTGTGGGTGGAAACCTGTTCTCCAGATTCCCTGTTTTGGGGGTTGGAGAAGAGAATAAGATGCAGCTTTGGCATGCTAGTGTGACGCTGAATCAGGAGTGCACTCCAGTGTGGCAACGGGAAATCACTGTTTTCTCACCTAGTGAGAAAGAAATCACCATCTCACCATAGCTGGTCCTGATGCTTACTGACTGTGAGGATGGATCTAAAGGAAAGCCACACCTCAGGGTTAAAGAAAGGTCGTTGTTTGCTTTGATTTAGATTGACCGTGGTCAGAGCAGTGCTTGTTATCCAGCTAGAGTGCTCCGGGGAGCAAGTATTTAATTTCTTCACCTGACTTTGTTTCCCTTCAGAGCAGGAGTCAGAAACCACCACTTTGTCCCGTCTAGGGAGCATATGTCAAAACAGGGAAAATCTCACTTCACAACAAAATAAAGCCAATAGGAATTGCATGCAGCATTAAGATGCTATCAGTAGATAGTGTGAGTCTGAACTCCTCGGCAGGAGCTGACAAGTGGGAGATGTTGGAGGGGGGAGAGTGGAAATTTCTAGAAGAGTTTCCCATGAGATGTCATCTGTCCTGCGGCTCAGATTTGGGATATGTTCCTGTCAACTGAGCTATTGCACTCCTGCTTTTACATTTTACCCTTGCTGTGTTAAGAAGCGCTTTTCTCTTACCTTCATCGCCATGCTCGCCTTTATCCCCGTCCTTGCCATCCTTGCCATCTTTTCCTGGGAAGCCCATCCTGCCAACCGTCCCTGGAGCCCCAGGCGTGCCAGGGGGGCCGGGTGGCCCGGGGGGTCCCGGCAGGCTGCATGCCAGCTGGGGACCTTCCTGCAGCGCTCCCTTGGCAAAGCCCCCAAGGATGTGGTTTGCCACGCAGGGCACGGTCCAGAGGAGGAGGACAGCGGAGATCATGGCACAGCCTGTGGGGGGGGGGTGGGGTGGTGGGAAAAAAAAGTGATGGGACTTGGCTAATACGTGCAGTAGCCAGCATGGGTGGGTACGGTGGTGTCCCCTCCACCGGGGCTGCATGTTGTAGAGACTTGCATGAAAATAATTAGGCTGTTTTTGGCAGGGTGGGGGAGCTGTTTGTTTTGGTGTGACGTGAATTCAAGGATTTGGCTCACGGAGTTTTCCAGGTCTAAGCAATATTTCTTTTCCAATCTTCCTCTTCTCTAAGCATGTATCTGTGGCCATCCCTTATTTTGTTTTGTTCCCCTCCTTCTTTCTCATGCTAATGTACCTGGCAGCTCCATCCCTTCTCTGAAGTCCATCTGGCTGTGGCTGTTTGGTCTCCCTTTGTGCAGTGAAGGACTGAGATGTAGGGAGAGTCAGAAATGTCCCTGCTCTCTCCCACCAGCTAGTGCTCTCCTTCCCCAGCCTGCCCCCACCCCATGACTGCCATCCTCCCTTATCACTTCCCTTCTTTTCACCCTTCCCTGAGCCTCCTTTCCCCCAAAACACTGAGTATACCGTGGTTTTGCCCAACAGTATGAACTGAGCCTCTCAGCTAGCTGCGAATGTCCCGCTCCTCATCGCAGCTTGCCTGCATGGCACCACGCAACCTGCGGCCAAATCACCTGCCAAGTCTCTGGCTCAGTGTCGGGGCTGCAGCCATGACCAGCCCCGCTGCAGCCTCCACCGGTGGTTTTCTAACATCTTGCCGTGCCTACCTGCCTCTCCGCAGGGGCAGTAGCTCAGCCTTTATGTTTGTTACTAACATTCACCCTGGAAAGAGAGACAACCATTAAAACCCCGGCCGTTGTTTGTCTCCTGGCTCTGTAAAGTGAGCCATTGCTTTAAGTATAACAAACGCCAAGGGCTTTTTTGAAGCATCCCTGGCTCTGCCTTCATTGATGGGGGAGGCTGAGCCTCCTGGGCTTGTCTCACTCCACTCCTGGATGGGGAGATAGTGATAGAAAATAATTTCTGGAATAAAGCTATTTCCATGAACCTGCTAATGATACAGAGCAGTTATTATACAGTAAAATATCCCTCTGGATGTCTGTGCGTGGAGCTGTTTGCAAATAGCTCTGCTCCATGTGCAACTCCTGAGTAACTACACTGCATCTTGAAATAGTGCTCAGATGCATCAGCAGCTTAGAGAAGATGCTCAAAATCAGGCTGATTGATGAGAGCTCATCTTCATGCATGACCCACCCGAGACTCTGAATGTTAAAAATGTTTAAAGTGGAATTTGGGTTCTGCACATGGTTACAGATACAGTAAAAAAAAGAGAATTTCCCCTACGGTATCAGTTTCTGACTACCCACGGGTAAAGGTGCTCCTGCCATCCCCTCCCCAGGACTGAAGGCCTCCCTGTGCCCGGGCTGAGGATTTTTTCCTCCCTTTGCTCTGCTGGTGAGGGAGGTTATCCCCAGCAGGGCTGGTGCTCCCCAGTGGGAGATGCTGATGGAGTCGGGTCTTTTCCAGTTGCATGAATGTGGAAAGGAGCTGGTGGGGGATGAAAGGCACCCTGGGCCCAATTTTTTTCTTTCAGCTTCTGTAGCTGAAGTAGCCCTTGGAGAAATGAGGCACGAAGCCTAAAACTGCCCCGTACAAATCTGTGGCTGGTTTGCTCGGTAGCTCTTTGATTAGGAGAGATCAAGCTAAAGCCAAAAGATTTTTTTAAAGAAATTAGCCATGTATCACTTTGATACAACTCCTACCCCTGGGCTAAGAGGTGCACACTCTCATTTGATGGAAAAGACTCCTATGAAATTTAGTCTTTTCCCTTATTACAGCTACCTCTCTGATGGTAGGGGGTTACATATTTTACAAGAATCATCCGTTTGCATGGCCTTTCTTATCACATCCCTAAGTCCTGCTAACGAAATACAGAATATAAGCAAGGATTGCAAAGCAAGCAAACTGCCTTTCACATATTTCTTCAAGCTTTGCTGCTGAAGCAAATTTGTAGTTAAACACAGGTGCAATAGAAGATGAGCTGGGATATCCCAGACCTTTTAATCTGTCAGTGGCCTTTTGGCCAGGCAAGGTCCTGCATGGCATTAAGCCAAATACTGGGAGGCTTTAGCATCTCTCCAGTAGTGTTATGTTTAACTCCTGCACTGGAAATAAGATGCTTGAAGTATGGTATAAATTTCATGTTGGCCTTAGCGCTCTCATCCTGGGATCGGCTCCTGAAGGGGGGTGGAAATGCATATTACGTGCTCCAAATCCAGCGAGGAATACGCTACATATTAATGCTGAGTGGGAGCCCCCCAGTTCAGCGATATGTATAATTAAGAACATGCAGAGGAGTGGGAAATGCAAAACAGATCTCCGGGCTGGATTCGGCTGCTAAGTCATTTTGTTCTTCAGCTCTCTTTTGCTTTTCTTATACCTAAGTTTGTTTGCTGCTGGTGAAAGGTGTCGGTTTAATGGCCTTGTGATATGGAAATCATCAACCAGTATTAATGCGGACAGTTGAATAAAGGTTTCTCGGTTCACGGAAAGGGAAACAAAATGTTAAAATGCCTGTGGAGTGGGGACATCCTAAAGAAAGCTACATCCCTGCTTCCCTGTAACCACCTCAAATGGAGCAGAAGAGAAGTGAGAGGTGTCTGGAGCTGGATGACACTAATAAGTTGTGGCAAGGAAAAATGTCATTGTGGAGCATAACCTGGAAAAAAGCTGGGACTGCTTCATGTAGAGAAGAAACGGGCAAGAGGGAGCACAGGGCAGGAGGGCAGCTCCTTCTCTTAAAGTTTCTTATCGTAAGTACGTCTATTACCTTCAGACAACCCAGCTAATTGACCTGATGGGATAAAAAGTGGCAAACACAAAATACCCCGAAGCTGGGAGGTTTGTAGTACCGATACTTGGATAGATGGGGAATATTCGACTATCTGGAGCCGTGCTCTGGCGCAGCTCCCGAGTCGGTGTTAATTAATGGCTCCACAAGAACAGCAGTGTGTGTGGGATGCAAAGCACAGTCGCATTCACAAGAAGACCTATAAATAACCTCTTAAAGAAATCTCTTTGAAAGAAAACAAGCCTCGTGCTGTTCCACCTTAAAAGGAAAATTGCTCCTCAATGTAGAACGTATGATGAGCTCCAAAAAGCAAATTGGAAACAGATCAGCATCTTTCCTCTCTGCAGTATGGGAGGCAGGCCTGGCACTGGAGGCCACGCAGCGTGGTTTCAGCTGAGGTCTTACTTTTCTAATGACATTTTAATTAATGGCTTTGTTGATAGGGTTTTGGAGACTTTTTGGCCATGGCCAATGACTGTTGTGTGGGAGCATGCACCATGCCCCGGGGGTTACGAGAGCTGACTGGTGGTGGAGGGCTGCTTAGGGAGGAGAGGAGATCCTGCGATTCCTGACCGAGTGTGGGGGCCCAGCAATGGCTGTAGCTTGTACCTGCCACAAACGCAAATCAATGGCTGTAGCTTGTACCTGCCACTGAAACGCAAATGTTCGGCTCCGGCACCTGGGGAGAGCACACCGGTATCGGGCACTGATTTCAGCATGGGGAAAAGACAGTGGAGCAGCTTCGTTTAAACAAGCTAGCTCGGGTGTCCGCAGCGTAGGCATGGCTGCCAGGCCTTAGGGTTGCCGTGCCCTGGCTTCTCCCTGGCAAAGCCCATGGCAGCACTAGGACTTGCTTGAGGCTATTGAGTGTGTTGGTGCAGGGCTCAGGCCAGAGCAGAGGTACTCCAGCCCTTCATATGTGGAGTGCCTCTCCCTCGGTGACAGCATGTTGGTGATGGGCAAGATCTCATGCATGCAGAAATGCTTTTCTTCCCAATGCTTAAAAATATCCCATCCGTCCATTGATGCACTCTGAAATGACACCTTCTGAAATATTTAGCAGCAATGGTGCTTTCTAGGTTGCTTGGTCAAAGATAACCAAGCCCTTGACTCAGGAGATGGTGCAACTCGTGATGGGCCAGGGCAGTACTGAGTCACTCTGAGGTAGAGGTCTTGGAGGAAAGACCTCTTGGGCTCCCAGATGCCGGGCAGGCTCTGGCTGAGACCCCATGTTCTCATCACGGGTGGGTCAAACCTCTGCCAGCCTCGGGGCCCCAAGAGAGGAGAGAGGCTTCAAAATGTGCTGCAGATGTCTGGGCCCTGAGGTGGGAGGATGAGGCTCAGACAGGTGGAGCGACAAGTGCCCATCAGCTGGGTTTTAGAGGCAATGTTTCCCTGTGTCCTTCAGCTGAATCAATGGAAATTGCTGCTGTGGGGTCCCGGGCATCCCCTGCGATCAATGTAGTCCGTAAAACTGTGCTGTGGATCCCGACTAGGTAATTTTGGGGAATACTTGTCAGGAAGCAAACCAGGGAGGGGATGATTTTGGAAAATGTTCACTCCTGAATCTTAGAGCTGGAGCACAGCTTTATAGAAGATACCTCAGGGCAAATAAAGCAATAAGGACAGAGCGTCTCTGATTTGCAAGCATGGTACATGCAGAGCTGAGCATTTACTGGCTTCTCTCTTCCTAATGAGCTGCATGTTTAGGGGCCTTCACTTATAGCTATGTAATAAAATGTAATGAATGACTCAAAGCAGCCATGTGTCTGAAATGGGATATTCTGAGTCTGCCCCATGGCCTTTATCTGACACCCCCTTTCTGGTTTAGGATGTCTCGTTGTCATTGCTCGTTGCTTTGGTGGGTCCTTCTCTTCCCCCTGGAGCTCAGGCCCTTGGCAGAGGCTGCCCTGTGCCCCGGCTCTCCTTGCTGCAGGTGCCTGGGAGGGGATACCAGGGTGTAGCTTTCCTCAGGATCAAGAAATGCCAGGAGCGGGTGGGCTGCCTGTCTCCCCAGCTGCCCTAACCAGCCTGTTTGAAGCAGACGCTTGTACATACAGCAGGATTTGAACCCGACCCCTCCATGCTGAAACCTGAGCATCCCATGAGCTTCTGTAGCACATGGAGCATCTGTGCAAGGGGACTGCAAACCCATGCT